ATTAAGTTATTTTTTGCACAAGAAATGAGAACTATGTAAAATTAAATAAAATTTTATAAAGCGCATCCAATTATTAATAATGTTAAGGTAAAATTTTCACATTAATGTATACAAATTTTTAACTTATCATAATATTATATGATATTATAATTATATTATTTTTAATATAATTTTATATATTATTTAAATAAATAATTTTTTTATTTATTTAAAACTTATAGTATTAAATATATTTACTTATTTATTAACATGATATATAAAAATTATACTAAAAAAATATGTAAAAAAAAGTTCTAGATTAAGATATATTGTCCATAAATTATAGTGCAAGTCAGCACACGTACCATAAGATTCCCGGCACCGGTGGCCGGTAACCGTAGCGGTTTGCTGATCAAGTAATTCCCACCTTCGAGATTAATTCGTGCCCCTCCGAGGTTAGCGATCCCCTCCATCAGGAAACCATCGCTCGGACCCTGAAATGCATCCGAGATGGCCTTCAGAAGTGCTTCTGTGCTGTCGGATTTCCCCGTAGGATCAGCACCGTACGCTGTCGCTGGATATACCCGCGGACTCGTCCCGACCTACATCACAATCATCAGTTTGCATGTAATCATAGAAAAACAGAGCATACAGGTTGTCCAAAGATTATAACTTTGAATACCTGCAGTGGCGGAGCAGGGCCAGGCGATGGAGAAGGAGAGGAAACAGAGTCCCGGCGGACAGAGGAGGTCTTCAGGGCTCGCATTCTGCGAATTTCTTCAGCAAAACGGTCACCGGAAAACCGACCCACCTGCAAATCATCTCCATGAACACAAACCACAGCCAAACAAGCCAACCCCATTAACATAACCAGCTTCAGGTCGGCTTTTCCAGTCATGGTTGTCCTGTCCCGCTTTGCCTCTGTCCAATTAAGGAGTGCAGTTGCCTTGCGTTGGAGAAAGCCCCCCTGTTTTTATAAGCGAGAATTGATAGGAAAAAAGAGGAAATGTTGGATCACACAGAAAGCACCAATGTCTTGTTTGGTGATTGTTTTATATACATGAGGAATTGCTTCCCTCAGGGGCTTTGAAATTTTTGGACATAGAAAAGTAAGGCCGTTACCAACCTCTTACTTTATGTTTGACATTGTGAAATGCCATTTCCACAGAAATGGGCGGGCAAGTTCAGGTCTTGCATTGCGTTCAAGACAGGAATTATACTGCGCAGCAGGTGCAAGTAATACTTTTCCCCATCTCATTGATTATACCCACCAACATAATTTGTTTTATTAACATAAGTATTCAAAAACAGCCTAACTTAGTGCTAATATCATTTTAGAAGAAGTAAAATATATTAATTTTGAATCAAATGAAATATTGGCAGGCGCAATTCATAAAAATCAAGTATTTGAATTTTTGAACCGACTAATTTAAGTACCAGCTATATGGGGACGCAGCCATAGGCATTGAGCTCCATCCAAACATCGAATAAAGGTGTAAAATTGCACGAGATCAGTTACCAGTAACGAACTGGAAATTAATAATGAGATGCATGGTTACAAGTTTTTATGTAACATAATTTTTACCTTTTGGGAAAGTTTTTTTTTTCCTTTTTTGAATCATGCATGAGATTTAATGTATGTTATAATTGGTGATTAATTAAATAATTAATGTAATTACGATTGAGATTTTGTAAAATTATAACAGAATTTTTTGGGACTCAGTACCACGGAAAGCAACCAATTCCATTACAAAAACCAAAGAGAAAATTAGGTGATGCAGGCATCCTAACCCTGTGATGTGTTGTAAAATATTTTGTGTTAGATTTATTAGTTCATATAAGCCACATTCCACGTACACTCATAGTTGGGCATGGGCATTGTGAGTTTTAAAAAATTAAAAAATAAAGAGACTCCACCTAAAATTTTAAGGTTAAAAAAAAGGTAAAAGGTGCTACCATTAATCTTTTGTAAGGATAAAAAAAAAGTTTAAGCTCAAATTTCATAAAAGGAAAAGTCATACGTTTAATCGATTCTTGGTTCTGTCACTGTGTATGAAGACAACATTTTACATGTCCGTGTGAAAATAGTTGGTCTAATTTCACAATACTCTTGCCATCTAAATCTATCATTTCACCAGAAGGCTCATCTGCTGCTTATATTTTAAAACGTATCTTTTTAAATGTCATTTTCTGAGTTTATAGGTTTTACTATACATAAAAAAGGAAAAAAAGGGGTTTTCCTTGACCTGTTACTAAAAGATGTACTTTTTTCAATATATTCATATTAGTTAAAATGATGTTAGTTACAAATATTGATTTGTTAATGGTAATTGGTTAAAAGTTCAAATCCTCATAATGTTTTGAATTAAATAGTAAATAATATGCTAATGGTTTAACTTTCCATGTCATTGAGAAAGAGCCAATAATGCCTACTCTCTCAATATAATTCCTTCACTAATTAACCGTTAATCATTTTTCTGAAAGTTAAAATTTTTAAAATCAAGTTTAGGTATGAAGGTTGTTTGAGAAAAAATTAAGGTAAAAGATAATTACATCTCATATTACATAAAAATCAAAAGACAATAATCCAAACTAATTAACAAATTGCCCCTAAAGAGAGATAGAGATAGAGATAGAGAAGAATAATGCATGCTTATAAGAGTCATGAAAAAGAAGGTAAGATACATCATTGACGTACAAAATACATTTTTCTTCAGCAAGATGTGTTTTTTGTGATAATTAAAGCAATTCCAATAGAGTTTTATTAGGAGTCTCTCTTTCATATTTTAAATATAGAGACTTCACATGTTTTGTTAGGGGATGTTTTAGTTAATGAGATATATAGAGACTTCACATTTTTTGTTAGGGGATGTTTTAGTTAATGAGATGCATTCTTTGTGACAATTAGAGTAATTCCATTGGAGTCTCCCTCCAAGAGAGATTCTAAATAAAGACTCCTTGAATTTTGTTAATTTAAGAGATTTCTCTTTTTATAGAGAGGTCTTAGTTAGTGTTCCCCCCAAAAATCCTTTAGTGGTCTCGCACATGTAAAATTTAGATGCAGGCATGTTACTTACTTTGCTGAAAATAAGAAATAAGGATTTTCCCAACGATTCCTCACGGTTGACCTCCTTGCGGATGGCGGGAAGAACGTTGGATTAAAATTAAAATCTGCGCCTACAAACGATTTGCAAAAAAGAGGAATGCCTTCTTGCAGAATGGGTTACGAAATCTGCCTTGGAAAACTCCGAAAACTTAAACACTACCATGAATCAAAGTTAACAAATCCTAATTAAACTAAATAGCATGCAATTTAAAATAAATTTAAAAGAACAAGATATACCCAAATTAAATTAAACATGTTCATTGTAAAATTAAAATGCTATCTACTGACAAATCTAGAAATTAAACTATTGCAAAATTTGAGATTTTACCCTAATTAACACTAAAACAAACATGAACAGGAGTTAAACTAACATACTTGAACTTGAGAAGAAGCATGAACGTCATATAAGTAATCATTGAAGAAATGATACTTATCATAAATATTAAATTAATTGCAGACAGAAAAGGAACAGTACCTTGAAAAAATTCAAAAGATTGAAGTTCATTATATGAAACAAAATTGTTGAAGCGTATACATGAACTAATTTGTCTATTGGAATGATGAAAAACAACCTAAATCTACTAGGATTTGTGTTGAAATTTGAAATCTGTAAGCAGTAGTGAGCAATTGCCAAGAAATTGAAAATTTGAAAATTTGCAAGTTGTTTGTAAGGCTGGCCATGTGTTCTCTCTTCCAAAATTTCATTTTTGTTCTCCTTTGGCCGGTAGTAAGTCCCCACTTTTTGTAGTTACAAAATTGTGGATGGTTTCTTGAGGTAGTGGGATAGCTCAACAATTGACCTGGTCAGATCTCCGTCTAGATTTTCGCCACCTGTGCCCTTATCAGATAACTCCCTTCTATAACTGCAATCTCCTCCTATATTTCAACTAAAACAGTCACTTTTTGACTCAAAGAGGTAATTACAAGGTAAAATCTTATTTTTATCTCCCTTGTTTGCCAATATGACATCTGATCTGTCATGGAGCTCAGAATAACAAATCTGACATGGCTTAATCTCTTCCATCCATTTAAAAATCTTTTGACACATGGCATGATCTTAAATTTTTACAATTTATGGTCTAAACAGTTAGTCTTTTTCTTCTTCTTCTTCTTCTTCTTCTTTTTCAAAAAAAAAATTCTTATTAAAAGTGATATTTTTTTTTGTTTGTGTAATTTTTGAGCAATACTCTTAGTTTAATACATTAGAGAGAAGAGATTCTGTTTTTATAAGAGAAATTGAGTAAAATAATATGGAGTATATAATTCGACATAAAGATACTCAAATAAGTCCTTACCATTGGAATTAGCCATAGTTGTGGTTACACAAAAAATGCAAGTGTTTTTAATTTATTTATTAAAAGTAATTAATATATGTAACTAGTAACTAATAATAGATAAAAACAACTAATATCACTTTTTTTTCTTTGAGAACAATATCACAATCATTCCTACAATACTAAGGGGCGAATGGGAAGGGAGGAATTTGGGACTCGAACATTCAACTTTGATGATGTTCCCACAAAAGTCCATGGCAAGCCATTAGGCCTAAAGGTGAGGAAATAAACAAAACAACTAATATCTTATTATTTAAGAACTAATAGAATAACATTTTTGTACACTTAAAAGAATGTGAATTAAAAAATCTATAATTAAGTTAGGCGTTGGAATGGAGTAATTGATTGTTGAAGGAAAACATGACAAGGTAAGTTAGGGAATCCATTGTTGTACACCCCATTAATGTTGTTGGTAAGGTAGCTAACTTCATCTTGAAGCAATGGAACCAAGAAAGAAACAACCCTTTTTTGATCCATTGCTTCTAGTGGACACCATATTCCTATGTAGCTACTAGCCATATCCTTTTAATGAGTTCACATAATGAAAAATGATAAAGTAATTGTAGGATTAGGTGATAGAAAACTGAGTTAGGTTCTTTAGGTCACTCATGTAGTATGCAACTTCATGATGATGTTGCTTTCCCAATAAAATACACATCCTTGTCCGATTTGATTAATGGATTTGTCATACAAGGTTGCTCATACTCTGGACATTCCAACTTATGGGGTCATTAAAATAGCTTCTTATATTTTTAAAGAATTGAGATTCAAAGTCCAATTTTGTGCCTGAGGTAAATATCACCCCCAGTCAAAGGATACCACATCCATTCCAACAACACTGGATGGTTTTCTTCTCCTTTACTGTTGAGAGAAGGGAAACCTTACAATGCAAAATCACAAATTTCTCTGTTAGTACCGAACTGACCGTTATGTAAGAATTGTAGAGCTTGACATTGCATGGAAAATGAGAATTCAATAGGACTGGAGAAAGAGTTGGTATACATTAGGTATTCTGTTCACATCAAAAAGAAGAAAAACAAATAAGACAAGCAATTTGAACAAGAAAAAAGGATTACTAATTTTGAATTCACTATTGATACAGAGAACCAAAAATTATTAATCTTCTAGAAAGCAGGGCACCCATCCAGCAGTGGCAGAAACATCATTTTCAGGAAGAATATTATTCAGGCAGGTTTCCTTGAAGAATTTTGTTGTGTCTGACTAGGTTGGAATATCCTCTATATTCAAATTGCCTTTAATCTGGCCTTCACTCAATTTGTTCATAGCTTGAGCTTCTTCAAGAATAAACTTTTGCTTGCTAATAGTTATAAGAGCTGGTTTACAACAGCTGGCTTGCTGGTGATAAGCCACAATTCGCAGGCCACGAAGAAGAAATTGGATACTAGAGCTATCACTTCTGAAGTATTCAAGTCATCTGCATGAAATAATGTTTCTCAATCCAAGTGTCATCTAATTTTGGCTAACTTCAAGATGAAAATGTTCATAAAAGAAAAATCTGCTGAAAAATTGTAGTACCATGAATTATATAATCTCCATTAATACAAACCCAACAAAATTATATGTTGTTTCTCGAGATTTGTTATTAAATCAATTGAAAGAACTAAATCCAATATCAGCATCAATCAACAGTTCAACACCAAACAACAACCAGGAATCATTGATAAACATTAACATATGACACAGGCATCTGGTTATTCAGAAACAGTTCCAAATGCCCAAATCTAAAAATTCACAACAAATACTTGAAATTAGACAAAATTGAAGCAGACACCACAGCCTACTGTTGACTCTGCACTCACATTTGAGCATTTTATGATTGATAATCCCCCCATAGGTAATATCCATAGAAGAAAAATCTACACAAGTTTCCAGCTAGGAAAGAGTCACTGGACATAAAACTATCTCATTTCTAATTAACTAAAACAAAGAGAACTGCTGTCCAGGGAGTTAAAACTTCAAACATGGAATCTATAGTATGTTATCAAACCCAAGTAATAACTATTGAAAGTTGAAACATTATAAAAAACATAATCATTTCATCAGGAACAATAGCTCAGTCTCACAAACATAGAAAAGTCACACGTATAATATTTCAGATATTATGATAAATGGTACCTCAAATTTCATCCTGATCACCAATAATCCTTGCAAGAGCACAGACCATCCTGGAAATGATGGAACCTTTTAGCATCTCGCATTATGAGCTGTCTGCCAACAATCTTTGAAATGATCTTCATTGAAGTATGGCAATCACCACAGAAACGAAGATTCTTGATTACTCGAATAGGTGAGCGAGCTGCAGTAGTCATGAGGCCATGAACAACAGCAAGCCTTTCACTATGACCAAGAAGAGCTTCTTCCTTTCCTTCCTGGTCTATATCATGCAATACAAATCTTGTCTCTGGAATATAACCAAATTCTTTCATTTGTTCCTTCAAACATCTTAGCAATGCATAGATTTTATCACTCTCAGGGTGAGATCTATCCCCTGCTCGATACTCATGAACCCTGCTCTTAACTTCCAGAAGATTTTCACTGGACAACTTCTTCTTCTCTTTGTTTGCAAGATCAGAGGCTTTCACCGGTATAAGGCCTACCTTTGACTGTTCACTCAAGCGGGAGGGATCTAGCTGCTCAACAAGCTCAGCACAACGATCCCCTAGCTCTAAGTGTCCATGAACTCTGCAGAGATTCATCAAAGTTTCCCAAACATCAACACTGGGCTCAAATGGCATCTCTTCAATGAATTCCAAAGCTTCGTTTAGATATCCTGGACTACCCAGCATTTCAACTACACTTACATAGTGCTCCATGGATGGGATAATGCCATAATCCTTGCTCATGGATTCAAAGTGTAGCATTCCCTCATTAATGTCACCCAAGATACCACAAGCAGAAAAGACTCCAAGGAACATTTGACCATCAGGTTTCAACCCTGCTTTCTTAAACTGCATAAACAAATCAAGGGCATCCTCACCAAGACCATTCTTAGCAAGCCATGTTATCATGGTATCCCAGGAAGTTAAATTGCGACTTGGCATTTTGTCAAAAACTTCAAATGCATCATTCATAGAATCACATTTTGAGTACATCTCTAAAATCCTGTTGTAGGTGCTCACCTTTAGAGGAGATAGTGTTCTCAAGACATACTCATGAATGGCTTTTGCCTCTTTTAAAGCCTTTTCCTTTCCACACACCCTCATTAACCCCAATATTCTAGGCAAATCCACATGAACACCCTGATTTTCTAACAATCCCAAAACCTCAACAGCTTTCTCAACATTACCCTCCTCACAAAATCCATCTAGCGCCTTAAGGGAGACATTATTTGCCATACTTTCAGGCACCTCAGGATTAGGGGTAGGTGACAATTGAGAAGTCACCATCTTATTATGAATCTCATCTGATTTCTGCAGATACTGTGGAGCATTTGGATTCTGCTGGTAACTTGGGCTCTGCTGATACATTACAGCATCCACTGTGGAGAGATAATTTTGGTTTTGCTGAAAATACCAGTTGTTATGCACATAATTTTTATCTAGGCTTCCCTGAGAATCTGAAAATCTTTCTGAACTAAACCCACTTGTGTTCTGTCTCGCTGCCATAAGCCCCTCCCCATAAGAGCCGTACTGCTGCTGTATGGTCTTGTTACCAACATATTGAGTAACCCCCTGGGAATGACCCCCATATCCACCAATATTTTCATTCTGCTGAACTGAATAGGTATGAAATTCCGTTCCCATGCTTTCCAAATGCACACCACCATGATTCTGGTGAAACCCTCTTGAGTTCTGCTCCACACCACTTGAATTATTTGTATAAACCGCATTTCGATTTATCTCTGACCTCCCAGAATTCTCCCCATTATACACAATAAAGTTCCCATCTTGACTACCCATAGTCTTCTGATTTTCACTTGCATTTCTCCCATAAACCCCGCTAGAATTCTGGAAGAACCCATTTGAATCGTGCCATGAATCACCATAAGGGTTACTTACAAGATCATTCTTAGGGAATTCCCTGCAACCCTGACTAGACTTTATGCCCTGCAAATTTGGTTCCTGCTGATAATCTATACAATTTTGGCTCTCACTCCAAAACCCACATGCATTATCTTCAAACTGAACAGAAAAACAATAAATTTGGTTTCAAAATCAATGTT